TGGCGCCTGCGGCGGGCTGCTTTGCATTCCTTCCAGGTGGAGGTGGAGAGCCCGCGACCCACCCGCGACCCAAACCACTTTCACTGAACAAACCAATGCCGCACAAGCGCGGCGGCGGAAGTTCGCATGCCGCTTGAGCCCGCAAGGACCTCTTCAAACCCCGCGCATCCATACCAGCCCGTCCAGCAACTTTGCCCTGGCGGTTGCCTTGATCAGAGAAGTCGGGGAGCATAAAGTGGAACAGAATATTGCGTTGCCGTTATCTTGGGAAAGGAGGGGGGGGCAGGACGAGTAAACAGGGGACGAGGAGGACGCGGAAGAAGAGAGGATGTAAGGAGAATGTGGAGAAAGAAGAGGAGGAGGAGCAGGAGGACGAGGAGGGGGAGGAGGGGGAGGAGGGGGAGGAGGAGGACGAGGAGGGGGAGGAGGGGGAGGAGGAGGATGATGATGGACGACAATGGGAGGACGATAGTGGAGGCCGATGAGGGGGAGGACGACAATAGGAGGACGATGATGAAAGGACGAGGGGGGAGAGGGAGGACGAGGAAGAAGAGAAGGAGGAGGGCGAGGTGGAGGAGGAGGATGACGATGACGATGAGGACGAGGACGAGGAGGAGGAGGAAAACGCCATCGACAAGGAAGGTGGAGGCCACGAGGTCCGCCGGCTCGACGACGCCCGCGTCGCCCGGGCCCGCCCCCTCACTCTTATCCGCAATTGCGGGGTGCTACATACTCGTTCCCTCCTGCATCCTATCTGCCCCCTGCCTCCCTCTCACTCCTCCTTGTCCTCCCTTCCCGTGGCGATCGAAGCCTGGCGTCCGCCCCCCCCCCACCCCACACACACACCACCTGATTGTCAAGAACACCTGCTGTTCCTCCCGCTCCTTCTCTCAAGGCCGGGCTAACGGCGATGTTGCTTAACGGTGATGCTGGGAACCGAATTGTGGGAAATCAAGAACCACACGTGTCTTACATTTCCGCCCTTCGAACGGGTCGAGCGAACACGACTCAACGAACTGTAGGAAAGCACGAACCACGCGGTTCCCACACTACCGAAACCTACATCGCCGCTACCTGCATCCCCGTCAATCTTCCTTCTACGGTCCTCCTCCATCCCTCTTCCATATAAACACCTTCTCTGTGTCGCACCCAGAGACGGGTCCGTAGGGCAGGCTGGGAGCTTCGCCTGGGAGTTTCTCGCCACTTACGATCGGGAAGCTGACAATGCGCAACAATTCCAAGGTTACAGGGTAGACTGGTTGTAACATCTAGCTTTCGCCTTTAGCAAATTGCATATTCGTTTCGCAAGTTTGCAAAGACTTCCTGGATGACGTACGGGCCGTTGTCAAAATGTGGCTCTCGCCTAGCGCCGCGTACATTCGTCCCGAAAGTTCGCAGGAGTTTCACAGATGGAGCGCGAAACCTTTCCAAAATGTGGATCTCGCCTTAACGTCGCCCACATTCGTCCCAAAAGCTTGCGGGAGTTTCACTGCTGGAAGGCGGCACCTGTTCAACATGTGGCTATTGCGTTAGCGTCGCAGTCCTCTTGTGATTGACATCCCAGAAATGATGCTTTGGCACGGGTGAGGAATGTCAGGGCGCAGAAATTACCTATAGGTTCGCCGTGCTGAGATCCCATGAAGGGCGTTCTGGCACGATTCTGACTCGTCAGGACGATTCGCGGCGTTGAAGCCCCAGGACAGAAGTTCTGGCACGGATCAAAAAACGGTTATCTTCCATCGGAGGACTTCCCAAAGTAAAAACTAATATTATAGAGACCAACGAAGAGGAAACTTGAATGACTTTTGTTTCGCAACATGATAAATGACTCTGAGGTCTCCATTTGTCCTTCTTCTTCCTCCTCATCATCCTCCGCGTCCTCTTCCGTGTGGGCGACTTGCCCATACTCAGATGCGTGTGGGCTTAGCACGCAATGTTGTTCTCGTATCCCCTCTCATCGTAAACAAGGTCTCGACTGCCTGGAGGCAGAGCTGTGGACACAATGTCTTAGAAAGGCTGGGCACCATAGTCGCGGGTGGTCACCGTTACGACTCGATCAGATAGCTCGATGCTCGATACCCTCTTCCCTCTGCGCGCTCACCTTTCGGCTCAACCTTCGCTCGACGACCTTGAGCTCACTCGCTACCCCTCTCAAACCCTGGGTTCTGCTTGCTCTGGCGCGGGCCCACTCGTCCTCCACGGTGACGCAACCGTCGAACACAAACAGACTGTTCGACCGTGATTCGCCGAAACAACAGGAATTTACAAACTTCATGCACGGTCATGAATGGGGTCCGCCAGGACTTAGGGGATCTACGCCGGATCCTCCTCCCTGGCGCGCGGAGCGCGCCAGGAGCGGCGCTGGAGGCGCCGCCAGGGTGTTCCGATGAAGATCCAATAAATCCGCAAGGGCTCAGCAAGCTTATGTTTATACGACATGTTCATACTCTAACAAAAGGGGGATACTCGACCAGGAAGCCCGAACACACAGGTGGCTGGGTCCACGTGCGGGGCATCCAGAGGCCGTGCGCTGGATACACAAGCGGAAATCCGGCTCGTTCCCGGCCATGGATGGGCTGGGCGCTGCAAAGACATCGGGCCACATGCTTTTTTTTCTGTCGCAGCAGCGAGCACTTTCTGTCGAAGGCGCGCGGGGAGGGAAGGGACCACGCTCAGCACGGTCAGTCCGTCTACGTGAGTCTGGAGCGCGTGCACAACGCGGAAGTGACAGTTCTTGGAATAGACGAACACGTTCCACTACTCGCAACGTAACCACTCGCAAGTGGCCTGGATCCGCAGCAGGGGATCTACGACAATTTTCATCGAATCAAACATCGGTTTTTCCCAACCATCCTGTGGTGTTGGGCAGTCGTTTTGAAGAGACGGTGCCCCGCGTCTCCTCTCCTTCCTTCCTTCCTCCTCCTCCGCCTCCTCCCTCCTCCCTCCTCCCACCCCTCACACGTTTCGTGGCCCCATAGGGAGCTCCACCGAAGGCCCCAGTGGCCGCGTCCACATGGCGGCGCCGCACCCATTTCGGCACACCCCTCACACGTTTCGTGGCCCCATAGGGAGCTCCACCGAAGGCCGCAGTGGCCGCATCCACATGGCGGCGCCGCACCCATTTCGGCACACCCCTCACACGTTTCGTGGCCCCATAGGGAGCTCCACGGAAGACCCCAGTGGCCGCGTCCACATGGCGGCGCCGCACCCATTTCGGCACACCCCTCACACGCGTCGTGGCCCCATAGGGAGCTCCACCGAAGGCCCCAGTGGCCGCGTCCACATGGCGGCGCCGCACCCATTTCGGCACACCCCTCACACGTTTCGTGGCCCCATAGGGAGCTCCACCGAAGGCCCTAGTGGCCCCACATGGCGGCACACCCCTCACACGTTTCGGGCCCCATAGGGAGCTCCACCGAAGGCCCCCAGTGGCTGCGTCCGCATGGCGGCGCCGCACCCATTTCGGCACACCCCTCACACGTTTCGTGGCCCCATAGGGAGCACCGAAGGCCCCAGTGGCTTTCATGGCGGCGCCGCACCCATTTCGGCACACCCCTCACACGTTTCGTGGCCCCATAGGGAGCTCCACCGAAGGCCCAATGGCTGCGTTCGCATGGCGGCGCCGCACCCATTCGGCACACCCCTCACACGTTTCGTGGCCCCATAGGGAGCTCCACCGAAGGCCCCAGTGGCTGCGTTCGCATGGCGGTGCCGCACCCATTTCGGCACACCCCTCACACGTTTCGTGGCCCCATAGGGAGCTCCACCGAAGGCCCCAGTGGCTGCGTTCGCATGGCGGTGCCGCACCCATTTCGGCACACCCCTCACACGTTTCGTGGCCCCATAGGGAGCTCCACCGAAGGCCCCAGTGGCTGCGTTCGCATGCGGCCCCGCACCCATTTCGGCACACCCCTCACACGTTTCGTGGCCCCATAGGGAGCTCCACCGAAGGCCCCAGTGGCTGCGTTCGCATGGCGGCGCCGCACCCATTTCGGCACACCCCTCACACGTTTCGTGGCCCCATAGGGAGCTCCACCGAAGGCCCCAGTGGCTGCGTTCGCATGGCGGCGCCGCACCCATTCCGGCACACCCCTCACACGCTTCGTGGCCCCATAGGGAGCTCCACCGAAGGCCCCAGTGGCTGCGTTGGCATGGCGGCGCCGCACCCATTTCGGCACACTCCTCACACGCTTCGTGGCCCCATAGGGAGCTCCACCGAAGGCCCCAATGGCTGCGTTCGCATGGCGGCGCCGCACCCATTTCGGCACACCCCTCACACGTTTCGTGGCCCCATAGGGAGCTCCACCGAAGGCCCAAGTGCTACCGCCCTCATGCGGCCCGTACGCCCAGGACAGCGTTTCGTGGCACGCCTTTCGTGGCCCCATAAGGAGCCCCACCGAAAGCGGCACCCACAAAGCGTTATTCACAATTGCATATGGTTGGGTCCTTCGCCAGGATAATTTTCTGACATTTGCGAGTAGGCACTTTGCGAGTAGTGGAACGCGCTCGGTGACTGAAGGAGCAAAAATCGGGCCACATGCGTATCCAGCTATCGCCCGGGTCAACCTCGCAGTGTGCACACAGGTCCGTGGGATGTCTTCCAGGGGGCTGTTGAAGGTTCCGCGGCGATCGGAGCGAGGGGGGCAGAGGGGGGTACTGCCTCTGCGGGGGGGGGGGACACCCATCGACCTAGGACCGGGAGCGCACGGTGATGACCAGTGGCTCCCCCCTGCCCCCGAGGAAGGGCAGAGGATGACGGGATGCCCGAGAGAAGAGTTGGGAGTGGGTGGGCAGGAGACGAGTGATCGTCTCGCGCTGGGACTTGAATTCTGGATCCCGCTGGTGTCCTCGTCTCAGCAAGCTTGCGCGGCTTGGCCGCACACGCATGCATGATTCGTCGATAGTGGCACGCATTCGAGTGCAGGCGAGAAGTGTGGATAATAAGGGATAAGGTGCACTCGCACGATGAGGCGTGAATACTCCCACATCCCCAGCGTCGCCCTCGCTTCGAGGATGCCATGGTGATGTAGGCACGCTGCAACTCCTCTTGACCAAGGGCAGGTTGTAGCAACGAAACAGCGGAACGAAGAACTGAATAACCAAACCGACCACGACTGCGAACATTTGATAAAGCGGCACTGTGGCATCATGAAGGCCACAAGCTTCCCAATCAAACGCAAAACCAGTACAACTCAAATATTCCAAATGATGCTGACATGTTCAAGGATGGCGCGATCTCCCAATGCGTCCAACTCACGTACAACATGCATCCCAACATGAAGTGCAACGGACTGTATAACATCACATCGTGAAACCCATCTCTAACAGATCCCCTGGTGCCAACGATGTCGGCAAACTCTTGCGCAAACGTCGACTAATACTCGAATTGTTTATGCCGCTGGACCGAATGGCTGATGGATGCTCCCTGCCAGCCAGCACCATATCGAGGTCGCAAAGCGCTCGCGGTTGTGAACTTACACGGATGATTAGGCAATCCTGTGACCGGTGCTTGTGGAACGATAATCGCTCTCACTGCATTGCGCCGATGCCTCTTTCCTGGCTGCATGCAACTCCTGCAAGCGTGGCCCGCTAGCTGGCTGGATGGATGGATGACCAATCTTCGATGGGCAACAACGGGATAACGCCCAGCGTCAGATGCGGTCCAAACTTCCGGCCGCTGTTGGGCAAACGCTGTCCGTCACGAGCGGACAACATTCGCAACGAAACGGACAACGACCCCTGTGCCAACGAGAGACAAACCAAAACATGCTGCCAAACACACTTCCCGTTCATTTCGTCCCCGTGTCCCGTGAGATCCGGCATCGCGAGAAAAAAACAAATATCAACAACAATCACGAAAGGAACCCTAGACCTCATCGTCCTGCGGCACTTTTGGAACCGGATCGAGTTGTAAAGCCCCAGGGGGCCCGAAACAAAGCCAAATCGCCCGATGAAAATATATCATGTGACGCAAGGATCTCAGAATCAGCCCTCTAGAACCGCAACCAATTCGAAAACCGACCTGTCCCGATCCCGAGGCAGTCGTAGGTATCAGGGGTGGTGAACATATGATGGGCCTGTTTTCCACCACCACCACCACCACCACCACCATAAGTTAGGGGGGCAAGGAGGTGGAGGACGAGGAGGAGGGGGAGGAGGACGAAGAGGAGGAGGGGGAGGAAGAGGAGGAGGAGGAGGAGGACCCCTTCCCCCTCCAATTTATGGTGGTGGTGGTGGAAAACAGACCCATCAACATATCCATATCTACAGCCTCCCGCTCCGGGACCCTCGGCCGCAACTGCCATGAAAACGTGGCGGACGCCCCCGTTTAACGCATCCATGGGATCGCGTATCCTTGGTCCATGGGATCGCGCCTCGGCGTCCACACAACGGGGGCATGGACATGGATATGTCCGTGGCTCGAGTTGAATGGTGTCCCTCGCGGTTCCAGTCTCGTCCCCCTTCTGAGCTTTCACGTTGCACGCCTGCTTTGGGTCCCGCTGCCTCCTTACAAAAAGGCCCGGGGAACTTTCAAGGATTTCAGCTACTGCTACTTCCCCGCTTTTGTCTCGCGCTCGGCCGGCCAACTTCTACGGACACACGTTTCGTTACATTCCCGTCCTGCACTGCAAGGCTTGATATATCCATATCCACCGCATCGGGGAACCGACGTCCTCGGACACCAGGGGGCGGTGGATATGGATAGCCGCATTTTGGCCACAAGTGCGCCAAAAATGTTCGGGTCCACCGCCTCCCGATGTCCACAGATATCCATTCCCCAGGTGGTTACTTATGGACAGGCTCCCGCCTGGGATTGATTCTGTCCAAAGCGAACGCCGATAACGAACACCAGCAAAAACTCACCGACCACCTTAAAGGGCACCCGGTCCCGGAGGGCACAGGATCCCCGGGGAGGTTTCCCGACATGCGGGCCCCCAAAAGGCCATCCAAAAAGCACGCGACACACAAAGACAGCGAACAACTTGACTCCCCTCCCCTCGCGCGCGGGCGGCCCACGTCTCCCTGCTGCTCCGAAGCGGGACGCGCACCGAGAGAAATAAGCATACAGAGACAGCACCACAGCAACACACAACAACAACAACAACAACAACAACAACAACAACAACAACAACAACAACAACAACAACAACAACAACAACAACAACAACAACAACAACAACTACTACTAAACCAGACAGAGGGCAGGCGCCTCGCGGGCCGCGGACACCTGCGAGTCCTGGGGAAACAGGCCATGCACTTGGCAAATGTCAACACGCGTGCCTATACATGCACGTACGCGAACGTATATACATATGTGTGAACCATGTACACCTTGTGTGCCCCTGCGCCCACGATGATAATCCCCTGGGGATAATCAAGTCCGGGGGTCGGGCGGGGGTAAACTTCCCCGGCGAAGGTGATGTTATGCTGATGATGACGATGATGATCATGAGCGCTCGTGTAGACCGACCTTGTAGATCTTGGCACAAGACTGACTCGAGAGATCTCGAGGCTTGCGGTTACAACTTGCCTGCGCAAGAAAGGTCATTGGCGCTCCTGGCCAAGCAACCTCTCTTTCGCACGGCCTCGAACCACTCGCCCATGCAGGCTCGGCGCCCTTTGGAGCCGCCCTTGCGCGGGAGGCGCTTGGTGCAGGCCTGGGTGGCAGCGCTTGCCTCCTCGAAAGTGGCGTGATTCGGCTCGACCGCCGTGGGGCCCTTGGCGGGCTTAGACTTGGCCTTGCTCTGTGCCTTGGCCTTTGCCTTGACCAAGTCGACGTCGCTGGCCTCCTTGAGCTTGTTGATCCACTCGTTGCCCTGGGCGCGCGTCGCGCCGATGCTCACGGGCGCTCGGCGGCCCTCGCATCGGACCTCGCGCAGGGCGCGCTCGATCCAGCGGCTCGCCCAGCGCCCGCAGGGCCCGGCGTCGGCCCAGAACATCTCGCCGCCCCTCGCAGGGCAGGTCTCGCCAGGGCCAATGGCGCCGAGGTTGCGGAGAATCCTCGCGGCGGCCCTGGGAGGCCACGTGCGAATCCAACGCGCGATGTCTGAAGGGGGGGGGTCACTTCGTTCGGCGGCCCCCGAGCAAGTGAACCCTGCCCCCCCTAAGAAATCGCGGGGCGTAGGTGTAGGTTCGCATGTGGCCCCTTAGGCCTGCTTAGCGTTCTCGGACGGCGGCTTGAAGGCGTCGCGGCGCTCCGCCGCGACGCCCCCGCCGATCCTCGAGACCTTGGCGGGCGTCGCCGCAAGTGCCCCCTGCCCAGGGTGCTTCCAGGATTCGCTCCGAAACGGAGCGGCAAACTAGAAGCACCCTGGGGCGGAAACGACTGCAGCAACCACCGGCATCGAGGTAAGTGCACTGCGCGGGCGCCTCGGAAAGCACGCGGATCAGGACGTGCTCGGCCTTGTGGAATCTCTCGGCCCAGCGCTTCTGCTCCTCGGACTGCTGGGCGGCGGGTTCGTCCTCGCCCTGGCCCTCTCGAGCCCAGGCGACGGCCGCCGTGGGCTCGACCGCCAGAACGGTCTCGGGGGCGCCCGCGCGCTCCTCGATCTCGCCCAGCAGCGCGCGCACTGTGCCCAGCTCGGGGGCGACGCCCTCGACGATCTGCTTGCAATTCATGATCGCGTACTCCTTGGCGAGCTCGGTGCGGCGAGCCACCCTGGTCTGGCGACAATCGAGCATGCGCGGCTCGGGGCTCGGGGAATGCGTTGTCCTGCTCGATGGTGACCTGTGGCGCTCGGGATTCACAAACACTCGTTAGCTTCCGCCTGCTTCCGCTTCGTGGCCTCAAGGTTCCGCCGTCGCTTCCGCGGCCAGCTTTCCGCCGACTTCCGCCTTTTCCGCAGTCGCCTCCGCCGTTCCCGCATGCTTCCGCCGCCCCAGTCGGAAGCGGGCGGAAGCGAGCGAGTGCCTGTGAGCCTCCGAGCCTCAACGCAGTCGATCAGGAAGATCGCCGCGGTCTCCACCTCGTGGACGCGCAGGCGGCGCGCGCGTTCGGTGCCCAGGACTCGCCGTGCGCCCTGCACTCTGCCGCGCCTGTCCTCGTGGATTCCCTCCTCGGTGACGCGGGCCACCTTGCGGTGCCGGGTGGGGGTCCTCGCAGGCCTCGAGGCACGTTTTCGCCTTGATCTTCCCTTTCTTCTTGTCGTTCTTCTCCGCTTGCATCTTTGCCTTGGACTTCTGGGGAGAAGCTCGCCTTGGCCTTCGGCGCCCTGCCTGTGAGCTTCGCCTCGGCCGCGCCTCGGCGCAGGTGCTCGCGCTCGGCCGCGCCCCCAGTCTCGGCCTTCGCGCGCCGCCACTTGCGCTGCAGCTTGCCCAAGAAATGGCCCGGGAACATAGACGCCCACCTGCCCTTGCACCCACTTGTTCGCGCCACTTTGAATCGGTCTCGAGGGCGCGAGAACTGGAGATCCTTGATCCGCTCTTCTGGCGCTCTGAGCATGTCCTTCTGCTCGTCGGTGAGCTCGAGGTCCAGTTCTAGGAGCTTTAAGTGGCAGGAGTTCTCGTCCTGCTCGTAGTCCTTGGTCAAATTGTCCGGGTGGATGCAGTTCCCGTCGAGGGCGCCCCATTCGGGGGCGGGCGGCGCGCCCTCGGGCCACCTCTGCGCGCCCCCCGAGCGCTCGCTCGCCAGGCTCTGCTCGACGCCGCGGCCAGGCAGGCTCGACGGAGAAGCTCCGCGGCCCCATGCGCGTGGCGACCTTGAGCTCGCCCTGCTCTGTCGGCCGGACCGCGAGCATGTGGTTCGCCTGCAGCCCTTGGAGCGGCACCGCGTCCTTGTTCTTTTCGCGGAAGCGGGTGTAGGCCTCGGAGACGCAGTAGAGCACTCGCAGGGCCCACAATGGGTCGGGGACGTGCACTGCTTCTGGGGCTCGGCCTTGGCCTTCTGGATCCAGTCCTGCTCCATGGCCCAATGCATCTCGGCCTTGACCTCGGATCATGGCCTTGAGCCGGCTGCGCTCGCGGGCGTCTGGCCCCTGCAAAAAGCTCGCGATGTCGGGGGCCATGGGCGCGTGGATCACATTCTCGAGCCGCGCTCGGAGCGCCACTGCCTCGGCCCACTGGCTCGAGAGGCGGTCTGCGAACACGACGCCCTGGCCGCGCTGCTGCTTGATGAGGTCGCTGGTCCAGGCAGCGAGAAGCTCGCCCGCCCAGGCCCTGGGCTGCGCCCGCACGTCGATGGCCTCGAAGACCCTCGCGCGTTCCTCCTCGGAGAGCTCGAGCAGAGCGCTGCGCCAGCCCGTGAGCAATGCCTCCAGGGGCTCACCTGCGCGGAAGCGCTTCGTCTCGCCGTCGCCTCCCTGACAGGTGGCGTTGCGCCGCCAGGTGCCCTCCTCGAGGTGCGCGTCGCTCACTCGGCAGTGCCTTGCGCGGGGGGCGGGGAACACGCTGCGCATCTTGGGTCGGGAAAATCCCTGGACTACGGAGGCGCTGGTGAAGGTGATCCTGTACTTGCCCCCTGCTCTCGAGTAGGCTTGGTCCACTTGCTCCTTCTGGTCGGGGTGCTCCTTCTGGTCGGGGTCTTCTCGGCCTCGAAGGCCGCCTTGCCCCCCTTCGGCCTGCGCCTCGCGGCGCTTGCGGCGGGGGTCCTGGATGCGTCTCTTGGCGCCTGCGGCGTGGATCTCGTTCTCGTAGACGCGCGCTATCCCCTCGCCCCTGAGCTTGAGCCAGAGCGCGGCGGGGCCCGCGACGACCGCGCTCGCGCTGGCCCTCTGCCGGGCGAAGGTCCCAGGGCCACCGGCGAAGAGGCAGTGTTCCTCGGAGCCGCCCCTTGCCACCAGGTGCACGAACCTGCTGCAAGTGCACCAGTAGTAGTAGTAGTAGTAGTAGTAGTAGTAGTAGTAGTAGTAGTAGTAGTAGTAGTAGTAGTAGTAGTAGTAGTAGTAGTAGTAGTAGTAGTAGTAGTAGTAGTAGTAGTAGTAGTAGTAGTAGTAGTAGTAGTAGTAGTAGTAGTAGTAGTAGTAGTAGTAGTAGTAGTAGTAGTAGTAGTAGTAGTAGTAGTAGTAGTAGTAGTAGTAGTAGTAGTAGTAGTAATAGTAGTAGTGGTAGTAGTAGTAGTAGTAGTAGTAGTAGTAGGTGTTGTTGTTGTTGTTGTTGTCGTTGTAGTAGTAGTCGTGGTCGTAGAAGCTGTGGTGGTAGTTGTAGTAGAAGTCGTGGTAATTGCTGGTCTGGCTCGTAGTAGTAGTTACTAATAGTATTACGGGTTACTACTAGTCGTAATAGTAGTAGTAGTATTAGTAGTAGTAGTAGTAGTAATAATGGTAGTTCCCAACCATCCTGTGGTGTTGGGTCCTCGTTTTGAAGAAACGGTCCCCGCGTCTCCTCTCCTCTCCTCCTCCTCCTCCTCTCCTCCTCCTCCTCCTCCTCATCATCCTCCTCCTCCTCCCCCTCTTCCCTGCGTTTCACCCACCCAGTACAACGTTTCGTAGCTCCATAGGGAGCTCCACCGAAGGCCCCAGCGCCCGCGCCCGCATGCGTCACCCACACCCATTTCGGCACACCCCTCACACGTTTCGTGGCTCCATAGGGAGCTCCACCGAAGGCCCCAGTGCCCGCGCCCGCATGCGTCACCCACACCCATTTCGGCACACCCCTCACACGCTTCGTGGCTCCATAGGGAGCTCCACCGAAGGCCCCAGTGCCCGCGCCCGCATGCGTCACCCACACCCATTTCGGCACACCCCTCACACGTTTCGTGGCTCCATAGGGAGCTCCACCGAAGGCCCCAGTGCCCGCGCCCGCATGCGTCACCCACACCCATTTCGGCACACCCCTCACACGTTCGTGGCTCCATAGGGAGCTCCACCGAAGGCCCCAGTGCCCGCGCCCGCATGCGTCACCCACACCCATTTCGGCACACCCCTCACACGTTTCGTGGCTCCATAGGGAGCTCCACCGAAGGCCCCAGTGCCCGCGCCCGCATGCGTCACCCACACCCATTTCGGCACACCCCTCACACGTTTCGTGGCTCCATAGGGAGCTCCACCGAAGGCCCCAGTGCCCGCGCCCGCATGCGTCACCCACACCCATTTCGGCACACCCCTCACACGTTTCGTGGCTCCATAGGGAGCTCCACCGAAGGCCCCAGTGCCCGCGCCCGCATGCGTCACCCACACCCATTTCGGCACACCCCTCACACGTTTCGTGGCTCCATAGGGAGCTCCACCGAAGGCCCCAGTGCCCGCGCCCGCATGCGTCACCCACACCCATTTCGGCACACCCCTCACACGTTTCGTGGCT